GTTTTTCCAGCCCCGGGGGGCCCAGCGCTGCCGCTCTGCCAGGGCGACCCTTCTCCGCGGCTCCTCTCGCCCTCTCAAGCGAGCCGCCAGCTTCCAGACCGCTCTCCCGCCTCGCTCCACCAGCGCCGCGGCGGGGGCCGGCCTCACATCTCAGCGGGCCCCGAGTGGGGAAATATTTTCATGCAAAACTGAAATGTTAACCGAGCAGGAGAGGGCCTGCTCCCCCTGCCGCTGCAGCTGGGCTACCTGCTGGCCTCCGCTGTGGCCTGGCCTCACCAGATCTCTTTCAGAGCCATTCCCCCCCAAGTCACCCCCTTTTGTTTGATCTACTGGATGCACTACAAAGCACAGCGAGGCTGGTCCTCAGATAACCCGGGCTACATTCCTTTCCTGCATAATCCATGCCTCATATCGTCAAGACAGCTTTGCAGAAAGTAAAAAAAAAGGCCCCACTGCGCGATGTGCGAGAATTCATAAACTTTTTATTTCGGCAGAATTGTGCAATATCAACTTTTTTTTTTCTGGATACCGCTCAAATCCTGACTGGAAACGAGCAAGAAAAAGCAGGGTTGGAATTACAGAGCCCCTCACCTTCCCTTCGCCCATTCTGGCTCATATATACGAAGCAGTTGACTTCGTATTTTGTTTTTTTGCAGGTTCAGAATTATTTTTTTTTCTGCAGGAGCAGCAAAACCTATGTAAATCAGATACTTCCCCCTTGTCCTTTCCCTTTTTTCGGCTTTAAAAACAGACAGATCCCTTCTTCTAAAAACAGTATGAGAGATCATATAGAAAATAATGTTGCGATTTTAAAACTAAAATACAATGCAAACCTCTTAACTGACACGACTGCAGTTATTTCTATGATCAGACACAGCTCTAGGTCTTTAATCTTAAGAAATGGCTCATTTTGCACAATGTAATTGCTCCTGTGCTACTCTGAATATCCAGACCAATTCACTCGCTTGACAGAGCTTCGTGGGCTCGTTTGCACTGACTTCCCGACGATCATGGTCGTCATAGCAAGGACTGCGAAACCAGAAGGTCAGCTAGCTGTGGAGAAGATTTAATGGCAGTGAACTCTTGAACCCCCTGGCTGGTCTGGCAATCACTGACACGCCCCTGTTGTGAGTGAGCTGATGGACTGCAGTCATGCCACCTCAGAGCCTGACCTCTCCCTGAGCTCTGAAGATAAACGCTTGAGGGTGTACAGCTCTTTCACAAAAGGACCTTAAGACAAAGTAAACAGGCAGCCTTGAAAAAACGCTTTGTTTAAAAAAACATGGATAATCCAAATTCCCTTATGCCTTGATGAGTCTTCCTACATCACTTTCCAGCTCACTTTCTGATGCACTGTCTGTTCAGGTGGCATGAGTTGGGCAGTGGCTAGGGTTCTGACCTTTAAACTGGTAGGGGGTCAGCTGCTGTTGAGCCCTTAAGCAACGTGCCTTTACCTTGTAGAGTTCCCAGCTGTATAAATGGGTGCAAATGTAATTCACTTTGGTTGAAAGCAAGCTAGTATTTACAGTATATGCGTTGGCAAGCTGTAGTTTCTTATGATGCATGTTTTTCAGAGCTCTGCGTCAGCTTATTGGCAGAACAGCATCTTGTCGTGTTTTGATTTCTTGCTATTGTTGCTCTTTTTTAAAAAAAGAACAGGAATTTCACTTTTGTGTTCCCCATTAGCTCTCCTTTTGTTCAGGACATTTGAACTCTGGTCATTTATAAAAATGAACCACTTCTGCACACTCGGGAATTTCCTGAGTTTGGACAACAGCGCCTTCCCTTTCACAATCTTAATGGGATTTTTGCAGTCATATTTGTTTTTCTGGTGTAATGAATGACACAATACTAAGGTCTGAAAACATGGACTGACTGCTTCGTTTCCTCTCGCTAATGTGCTTTTTTAGCACCTTGGAGGCATGCTTGTCAAAATAAAGACCCTGCGCCCTGCTACTCAAACAAAGTACTTTTTTACCGTCTTTTCCAAATTGATTTTTGCCATCAGAGAAACTACACATGTACAGAATTAGAGTTAGCCTCAAAAAGCTAGGAAGGAGAAGTGAATAAATTCAGAAATTAAAACATAACACCCTCTTTTTAAGGCTGATTTTATTTGAGTCTGTGTTCTGACGCAAGCTTGTGTTCTTTAAGTCTGATTTTGTGAGAAAGAACAGAACCAAACAATGTGAATTGAAGAAACACATTTCACCTTCCCAGTATCCAATCTCCTGACAGCCAGAGCCTGCAGATTCTGCGTGGCTGAAAATTAGAACACAATACTGCCAAAATCCAGTAATTATGTCCTAATTAAAGGTCCCTATTGTATCCTGTAGCATATAGTGTGTCCATATACTATTTATTGAGAATTGTAGTTCATGATCTGTGGTATTGGTGACATGCCTGGAGATCCCCAAGGCTCTGAATTTGACTTTGTAGCATGAAGCTTTGATTTTGAACTAAAGGATTTTTCATTCCAAACTTAGAAGAAAAGAGCAATCTCCATTCTGGCAAATGCTCTTAAGCTTGTTGCTGCCCCATTTCCAGAGTGAGTAATGTTTTTGACATGACATTTTCTTCATGAAACTCTGCGGGGCGCAGCTAACTCCAGACGCTGAGGTCTGCCAGGTGTGATGGGCGCCCCAAAATGCGGAATGCCTTAAATATTGTTCTCCGTTCTCCGTTTGAGCCGCGCTCTGATGTTCCTGAAGGAAGTGCTGGTTTGTCAGTGGGAAAGAAAAGACCCCCCACACCCACACCCACACACACACCCCACCTCACTGAACAAGTGTGTCTGCAGAACCGCTGACCAGACTGTCAAGGTAAAAGAGCTGCAGGAGCTTCAGCTGCTACCAAAAAAAATAACGAAACAGGACAAGACTTTTGGCTTTGATGTCTCAGCTGTGAGAACTGGGGGTTTTCTGGGTTATTGACAGCCCTTATTAATAATAAATATGAAAAGCCTAGTATTTAAAAGTCTTTTAAAGTGTTCCAAGTCCCCAATTATTTATTTTTCATACATGATGTTTAATAAAAAATGGCTAATCAAGGATTTAATTGCCCTTCCTTAATGTACAGATTCATTCTGTCAGCAGAGAGTAACTTGAAGGTTCACCTGTATGAAAAGTCTAATGCAAGCAATATGAAATTGCCAGCAAAGAGAACTTACAGGCTGGCTGCCCCTTGTGTGACTGGAGGTTGTACAGCCAGTCTGGCAGTGTGGATTCCTGAATAAAACATTCCAGGGATCCGGAAAGTAAGACAGGAATAAAATGTGGGAATCTCTGCAGGAAACCGTCCCCCTTGCATGCTAATTGGATAGCTTTGCAAACTCCAGTGCTTGTACTTCATGCAAAAAATCATTTGTTCTGTATTCTAAACCACTGCAGGGGCTAGTCCCTGAATTCCTAGATAACCAAGCCGGTGTCTGAAGTGAAGTGGTTCTATTTATGCCATTTGTATTTTGTATTTAACGGGGCGTCGATTGCCAGCTAAAGTCACCAGTCTGCAGCTGAGTGGAGAGCTGAGTTGATCACAAGAAGGGTGTGTGTTTTGTCTGTGACTATGGTAAACTATGCTTCACAGATGCAGCATGTTCTTTCCATGCAGGTGTGCTTTGATTCGACCTCTATTGTTGTATACTAAACACTCCAGGCTGCATCTAGGTTGCTGCGGCTACCATTATAGTTTTTTTACCACATAATCTAGCAGCTGTCATCTCTTTGAATTTCACTATTAGCTCACATTTACTAGACAGGGGTGGGAGACACTCCAATGTACTGGTGACAATGCTCCTCTAGGGCTTAAGCATGTTCTGTTTCATCTGCTCTGGTCATTTGTTTTAGATCTTACAAAAAATCTAGAAAAACATTTTAGGCATTTATCAACCCAGCAAGTATCCATCCTGTATATCTCTCTGTGTTCTAATGTGTTTACCTGGGCATTTTAATTGCACAGTTTCTGTAAAGACCTGAAGGGCTTTAGTCACTATTTTTTTCATGATGATTTGTACTTTTTTGGAAACATTTTAATTAAAACCACACCCCGCAGTTTTACGGTCAACCAAACTAACATCACAATACGTCAAAACACCATGCGGCTTGGCCACTGAGCATGCAAGGACATTCATAAGGATCTGCTGCTCTATCCCAAAATAAGCATCAGTTTTTCCCCTCTTTCCAGAAACCTGGCCTTTCCTGGCCCTGATGGTGTCACGCGTCACAATGTGAATCAACTCAGGCCAAAGCTGGGCTCGTTCTTCCTCCCGAGTCTGCAATCATCACTCGGCAAACAAGTGGAAAAGCTGCAGCAGTCAGCGTTGTCTGTCTGCTTCTCACGGAACACACTGACTCAGCACAGCACACTGACCGTGCCCCAAGAAGGTCACTCACTCTAAGGAAGGGCAGAGGAATCTCAGTGCTGGGGACATGATGGGCCTGATGGATCCATATTTCCTTGGCTGCCATTATCATATTTCTCTCCTACTGTTTCTGATGTATTTAGAAACAATTCTAGCAGAGACATTAGGGTGGTTTAAAAGACCCATATTTTAACTTTTAGTTTAAAAAGAATTGCCAAAGTTTCAAGTGAACACTAAAAAACCCCGAAGCACTTACAAAGTTTCACTGGTCGTGCCATTTTCTGTTTGTTTTTGTTTAAGGGCTCTACCCTACAGCATCAGGAAGGAAATAAATATGCAGAGTCCATTCCTATTAAAATGAGCATTTCTGAAACTGTAAGATTCCCCTGAAACAGATCAACCTTCTGCATGAACATCTTATCCGGGACTTGCATATTTCACGAGGCCAATCTACCCTTGTGTTTGTGTCTTCTCACTTGTATGCTTGGTGTTGTGTCTCAGTTCTCCATGATGTGTACTGTATTCTTCGTGGCTCGTTTTATTCTAGAAGAGCTTTGCACATAACGGGACTCTGCGAATGCGGATTGCATGAGAACCAGTCCATGAATGCAAGCTGTCGTACCCTAAAAGTGTCCCTTACCAGATAGCGGCTCCTTGGGTTTCACTTCAGGCTGCTCGACCACCTTCTCCTCCTCGGGCTCGGGCGACCCTTTCTCGGAAGGGTTTTTGGTCTTCCCGCCCCTCACCATCTTGAGAAAGGACGTGCGCCTCTTTTCCGTCTCCTCCTTCTCCCCCGGGCTCAGGGGGTCCCCGTTAGGCAGGCTCTCCTTGCGCTTTCCAGGCAGCCTGCAGATGGAAACAGAGAGGGGGGGCGTGGCACCCCGCCGTTCACTTTCTGGACCTGAGACGCCTGACCCTCTGCTGAAACAACATTCACACGATAAACAAAGAGGCGATAAACACGAGCTGCCGCACGCTCGCTGCTCAGTGAGACACATGACTGGGGCAGCCCAGTATCTCCTCCTCCTCCAGGTCAGTGTGTTAATAAGGTGTTATTCTACGGCTTGCGCGCCAATCACAGTCTCGCATCCCGGCAAACACAATACTCCTTCCAGCGTATCGTTTTCAGGCCTAGAGAGATGTCAGACGACGGAGGTGAAGCGAAATTATAGCTTCAGTGCCTGAGTGCACTTGGAGAGAGAATGAAAGTGCATTTAAAACTCATACAGTAGCTGTAAGCATGTCTTTGCCCAAAGGGTGGTGGGAGTCTGGAACAGTCTACCCAGCCATGCTGTTGAAGCCAAAACCCTGGCTTCGTTTAAGAAATGGCTGCAGGAGACCCTTGGATCAATTAACAAGGGGGGCCAAGTGGCTCCTCTTGCTTGTAGCTATTATTGTTGGAGTCTCGTGGCGTAACTGGCACAGATGCGGGTGTGAGGAGGCTGGACAGGGTGTTGAGTCCGAGCCAGGAAGGCAGGAAAAGGTGTAGACTAGGTTGGGCCCGGTTCTGCTACCCACCATCCGCTTGTGTGCTCTAGAAAGGGGCAGCGATCGAATGCTGGAGCCCCCCACCCCACTTTGCTTTCCTGGACGAAACAATGCAGCCCCTCGCGTTGAGTGACCGTTCCCCAAAAGACAGGAGCCATGTCTTATGAAAACAGAGCCTGATCAGCGGAGACGATGACACGGGCCGCACTCCAGGTTTCACGGCGTCAACACAGCCCTAATGGACTCGCTCCCAAACAATGTGACGGCTTTAAATAGCTCGTTAGGAACAAGGCGAAACAGAAACAAACCGCTTCGTTCCCAGCTTGGATAAAATTAATTCAAACGAGATGTTTCCATTTGCACAGAGTGAGCAAATGACAGGGAAAATTCCAGAAAAAAACCCAGACGAAGCCCAGTGAGGAAAATAAATAATAGGATGTGGACTTTGTCTCACTTTGACTTAGATTGTACCTCAGTAGCTCTGACATTGGTTTTAAAACTAACAGCACCTGAATGCAGACATGAAGCTCTATATTTAACTTCTAGTCCACAAGATCGGCCCATCGGTACGGCGACAGCTAAGCAGGCATCCCCTACTGCTCCCCTGCAGAGTGCAGAGCGTTATCATCATCACGGTGTCTTAGGCTACTTGTCTTACAGGCTGCAGAGAGTGGCCTTCACACAGGGAGTATGGAATCTTGTAACAGGCACAGGATGGGCACTGCCTGATAGCCTTGCCTTGTGTGTCGTGCAGGGCCTGATGTTGATGTGCGTGCATAAGGCTGAGATTTCCAACACGATTGCCCGCATTCACACACACACCCCTGCACATACCTGAGCAGAGACACGATCTCCTCCGAGCTCCTGCGCACATGCTTCTTCTTGTCCCTGTCGTGGGCGGTGATGTCGCTGGGGTGCCGGGAGGCCGGGCTGTTCTCCCCCCTGCTGCGCCCCGACATGCGCAGCCCCTTGCCCAGCTTGCCCAGGGTCTTGAGTGGGGAGCGCATGCGCTCCAGCGTGCCCCGCAGGGGGCTGTTCCGGCCCCCCAAGCTGCGCCGCTCCTCGTTCACCTCGTTCTCCTCCTCTTCCTCCTCGAAGGGGTTCTTCCCCCCCAGCGTCCCCCCTCTCAGGGAGGAGTTTTCGTTCTCCTCGGCCTCCTCCTCCCGGTCCACCTCTTCGAAAGGGTTCAGGCTCATCTTGCGCAGGATCAGCTCCCCTCTCAGCTTCGCCACCTCTCCGCTCCCCTTTCTCCCCTTCAGCCTCCCCGGCAGGTTCTTAAGGACGGGCATCCTTCGCCCACGTGGATAAATTCTGGAAAGAAGAAAAAGACGATTCAATCTCTTTTAACCGAAGCATGTTTGATTTAGCTTCTGCATCCCCTACACCACCTATAAGAATTCAAAATCATTTCTTTCAGAAGCCTGAGTAGCTCCTAGAGGCTGCAGCTGAGCCCAGTTTCTTTCACACCAAGCAAACTTGTCTTGTCTTTGCTGCAGGTGTAGCGCTGGTTCATTACTAAGGTCACAGGCCTGTGAATAAGCTGTCACCTTTTCTGACAGCCCTTTTGACGATGCGGTTTGGATGAAGCATCAGGGAGGCAAGAGCAACTTCAGAAACCAGAACTAACGACTGAGATGTGACCACTTTATAAACATAACCACATCTGAAGTCATGACTGGGCCAGTTCTGTCACGGGCACTGAGGAGACTTGAATAAAGACACCTACATGCCTTCTCTCAGGAAGACGTTGCTGAACTGTTGAGTCAGCTGAACAAAAGAACATGATGAAATAGCCTGTACCAGTCTTTTGTGCATAAGACATTTTGTTCCTTGCTAGGAGACTCTGAAGTAAATCTTCTAAAACACCGTGATTGCGTCTTCTCCAGGGACTAACTCAAACCCATGCCAATCCCTCATACTTGAGGAGAGCACATAAGCAAAGAGTTCAAAGGTGAAGGCAGACTTTCCTGGGAACTGTGTTTGCTTACTCATCAGCGGCAGTAAAAGTAATGAGAATGTTAATGTCACTTGTAGTTCGTTTACGCAATTGGCCCAGAACCTTGCTTGACATATTGCCAGACTATGTTTTTTTATTTTTCTATTGTGGGGAGTCTGGTTTTAAGAGGCTCAAAACGAGAACCAGACACAGCAGAGAAAAGTCTTGATGTGGAATTCCGACGGTAAGATGGTACAGAGAGTTCAACCCTGAGGACTTCGACATTTGTTTAGAAAGACATCTGGGTAGCATTACAAAAAAAGGAAAACAATCACCATTTCTTGAAATGGGAGCTATTTATTGTTAGAAAAAGAGTCACAAGCACAGCCTGAGCTGCAGTTTTCTCAGGCAATTCTTGATGAAGATTTCTGAGGACCACTGCAGACAACATTTGCTGATTTCTGCTAAAGCTGACTCAAGTGACCACTAAGGAACAATAACTGGGAATTTTTCACATTTTAATAAGTCTGAATTTTCTCCCACCATCTGATGATATGATTTAATTCAAAGTTGCCTTTTTTCAGCTTCTCTACTGTTCAAAATTTGTTCAGTGTTTTTTCTGTAAAAGTAAGGACAGGCATAACTGAATCTGTAAATGATCCAATGTTTAAGGGCCTCTGGCGAACCTCTGGCGAACCTCCAGGAGCTCTGCCTCAGCAACCCAAACCAGTGTCAGAACTACTTTGCAAAAGTCTGGTCCTCTGCTCCTCACAATCAACAGGCAGAACTGTATCACTGGATCTGAATACAGCAGTTCAACAGCTTTGCACTGGAGCTGTCTGGAGTTTGTTGCTCGTTGTGTGAATTGTACCATGCAAAGTCAAAATTTTTACCTTTGCTGAATGTGTTCATTGCAGGTGTGCAGGAAGACGAATGACACCAAACGATTTGCTTAGATCCTCGAAAAAGATCACCTGATTCCTATTATGATGATAGATAGTGCCTTCTTGGTGTGCACCATCTCAGAATGCACCTCACAGCCATGTTGCAATAGGATATGGTGAGGATACGGGAAAGGGATGGACTACCTACAGGTTTTAAAGTGTTGTGGAATTTCAAGCTTTTCTGAAAAGAAGAAACCTGGGGAAATAAAAGTAAGTTCTGATTCGGAGAGAAGTTGTGGAAGCCTGAATTGCACCCAAGTCATCTCGCAGTCAGGTGGCATCCATGATCCAAAAGTACATATTGGCTGAATTTATTCTGTAAAAGCTCCGATGGGGCAGCTCTCTCCCAGCTTGCTCAGGAGCGTCATGCTTCGAAGCCTTTGACCCTCAAAAACGTGAGAAAACACGTTTGTCCAAGTTTGTTTCTGTGACTCCTGCCTCCATAGAGTGCCTGGATATTTCGCGCGAACGACAGCGCCACAGGCCCAGCCCTGAGCGGCTCCTCCGGCTCTGTGTTTGTGTGTGTGTATTCTGTATCCTTGTGTGTGCGAGTGCGTGCGTGCGTGTGAAGGTTAGACTCATGGCTTCTCTCCGAGACCAGGTCTGAACCGTTACTTGTGTCCATGTGTTCCGAATGGGCCCGATTGGACTGAGCTCGCCTGCGCACGAGGGACGGTTCACTGAAGCAGTAACATAATCAGGACAGTTTCACAAAACAGATGGGGGACACAGATATAAACATGAACAAGTTTTGGCAAGAGACTGGGTGTTGCGAAAGCTCAGTGTCCCATGAGGAATAGTTGGCCATCTAAATTTTAGTCTTTTACTGAAACACATTTATGCCGGTAAGTAAGCTTCTTCCCTCTCAGTGAAACTTATTATTACTGGTGCTGCTGCTACGACAAGCCCCATAAAAACTTCTCTTTTAGTGCATAAGAGTTTTTAATTTCCTTGAAACCACTTAAAGTATTAGCCTTACTAGACAAGTGTACCTTTCAGCACAATGAAAATGAGGAGCTGTTTTAGTTTTTCCAGTCTGAAACCTCGTTCACTCTTGTTGAGCTCTAGCTCAGTCTATTTTTAAGGAGCTCAGAAAAACCTTCTCAGCTCTTTAACCATTTCTGGTGTTTATACCTCTGTAGTTGTTGCTCAATTAGCATTAAGCAAATCAGCACTGCTGATGCTATGTGAGTGTTATTCCACAGGGTGTGGAATTGGTGTTGCATGATGATTAATTAGAACACATATTCTAAATTAATACACTGAAGGTTTGGATCCCTATGCATCAGGTAGCAGGAGGGCCTTTACGAGCTGTTTTGCAGTATATGGCATCTGTTTGCAGACAAATCTCACCCTTTCCTTATAGAAGGATCTTCTTTCTAAGAGGCTGGGATGAGGCACGGGAACCAGGGCTCAGGGCTCTGAGTAAGCTACACAAGCACCATCACCCTGCTCCGAAAGCTGCTCCGTGTGAAACTCTGCGGATCTGGTCTTCTGCTGTGGAGGAGCTATCCTCTGTCTAGAGCCCAGAGCTCGTGAGCAACCAAGATCGAATCCCTGCTGGGGCAGGAAGAGCTGCGCTCGTCCCAGTAACAGATGATGGGAGTGAACTGCACGTTTAGCCAGCTCTTTCAGTGGCTCTGGGATCTGGGGATCGTCCTGGCAAGGGGAGATGATGGAAGTCTGTCCCAAGCCAGCTGTGCATTGCCTGCCACTGAGAGAGTCATTCCACTGACAGTCCCAATATTTGGCTGGCAAGTGTGCAATACCAAGAACTCAGCTACAGTCACCATTGCCAAGTGTCCTTTGGATCACAGGCCCGACACTACGGAGTTCCTGCGGTAATTATTAACCGGCTGAAACTGAAATACGGGATATGAAAAAGTGTTCAGTTAAAAGGAAGCCTGACTGCAGAGAGGGAAGTTGTGTGCTTGTGTTGCTCAGCAGTGCAGAAATTTCAGCAGCCCCACAATCCCAACAGCTGTCATTCATTCTCCTTTATTACATTTTTACTGTGATATTTACTGGATCTTTCAAACCCCTTCCTGTCGGTCTATATTCTAGAAGAGTTCCTGTGCTGTCTGCAAATGTATTTTAATGAGTTACTGCCTCACGATGGTGTATATTTCCATTCTTTTCTTGACTTTTATTCTTCCTCTGTATTTATTCAGCTCACACCTTTTGCCCAGCCTGCTGACTATCATAAACTGTGAAATATTAACAGTGCTTACATACCTACTAGTGTTTTTATCCTACAGTCAGCAACAGTTGATAAGATAATTCAGCATCACTATACTGCTAGTCCTTTGCCAACTTCGTTAATCTCAAATAATTTCAGTATATTGACATACATTTTGAAACTGTTGATGACATCAGGACCCATACCCTCTGATAAATAAGTCATCCATCCACCCTTTTCCGAACTGCCTTATCCAATACAGGGTCATGGGGGAGCAGGATACACCCTCTATAGAACGCCAGTTCATCACAGGGCAGACACAGACACACACACACACACACACAAGGGCCAATGTTCCCAGAAGCCAAGTAACCAAAGTCAGTCTCTGTTAAATAACCCCAGAAAGCTGTCTCTGGTCTCACCGAGGCCTGGGCAACTCCGATAGCCCCTCCAAAAGAAGCTCTAAAACGGACCTAGGAAAATCCAACAACAGCAGACAGAAGAGGGACACCAGAACGGATTTAAGAAGTCGAGAGAAGGCAGGAATATGTTGGGGTACTTCAATGTGGCAGGGGTAAGGAGAGGGAGGGAGAGCAACTCTGTCCTGCTGATCGAACACCCCCTCCCCTGATCCTCCGTCACTCATTACAGGCAGCTAAGCTCTCTTTGTACAGAAGGGGAACACTGCTTGATTTATCAACATGCATGTAACAGGGATGGCCAAGCAGCTATCCCACAGTCCCAGCACATCCCAGCCTTCCCCCTCTCCTTCAGGGAGGTAGAGGACAAAGGCCTCTTATTTAATCATTAATTCATGAAAGAAGCAGTAATACTGGTTTGCAGGGGGCAGAGCACTCCTGGAAATGCCAGTGTTTAACCCGGCATCTCTCTTACAGTCCTGGTGTTCTTGTGGTACAGTCCTTCCACACAAACGAGGTCTTTCAGTGGAATGCAATGAGAAACACTATAATGAAACTGTAACCACAGGCTCAAAACTGTTTTCCATTTCTTCAAAATCAGTCTTGCAATTGAAAGAAGTTTCAATGTCAAGATTAAACCTCCAAAAGGGAAAGCCCTTCATTTCTGTCTAAGACCATGCATCTCTCCCTACATTAGTATTAAAAGCTTATCAGACCGGTTGAACACCATACCAAACCGGATTATCAAGCATGCACATCAAACACTTGTGTTGTTCCTGGAACTGTATACATGTTCTGTCCTTCAGATGAGAGTATTTATAATATATTTATACACTCTTTATATGCTCAAGCATGTGACATGTTTGAGAGCCGTCTATATGTAGGTAGGTATTCAAATGTATCAACTGATACACTGGGGGCACCTGAAATCAGAGAAGCACTAGTACGGTATGTGTCCATAATGGACCTGTGGCTTTATTGGAAGAGTGTGAATCTTCTTTCAGAAATGCTCAATTCCATAAAAAGCGAGAAAGAGGGGCCCCACTGGTTCAAGACAGGTAAAAGATTTTCTAAAGATAATCGGTTGCAGCCATACCGATTTATCAGCAATATCAATTCCACATGTGCACAATTCCTCCACCCAAACGTCAAAGCTCTGCAAACCGCTGAAGTTCCTTTACAGAAGAAAAATGTACGTTATGGAGGCAATAACTGCCTGGGTGGATCTCCTGGATGTAAATGTGAGACATAACTGGCCTAAAAGGGTGTAGTAGATGTAACTGATGCAAAACTGAGGTCATGCATCAATTAATATTAACTTTATACAACTGCCAGCAGACAATATACCTAGAACAGCAGGCCTGACCGATACAGCATGAGCAGGGAGCGATACAGCACAGAGGTGCCATGAACTATCCCAGGTTGCCTCCAAGCATTTCCAGAAAAGGGGGTTGGGTTGAGAGGGTGAGAGCCAAGATGCAGAATATCTTTAAGACGCATTCCGGAAAGTCCTGGCCACCAGCCACAAGTTAAAACCACTCTGAACGAGAAGCCTGAATAAAGCTCAGGAATGTTGGACCATTCCCAGGGAGCCTTGTGTGACTTCTTCCCAGATGATCTTACTTATTCACTGATGGAGAGGGACGAGAAGAGCGCTTTAACACACTGTAACTGTGTAACCAAAGGCAGCAAACCTCATACAGAAGACACAGCAGAGCACATTACCGTCTGCAGGCACTCTTAGGACGTCTCTCTTCTCAGACGACGTTATCACAGCCAAAATCACACTATTACGCAAATCCTTCTTCCTTAGTTACATCTTATCTTTCTCTGGTAGGCCATGATGGCGTACTGGGGATAAAAGGATCGTGCGGTGATGGCACTAGAAAGCCCTGTACACAGATCTGCACGCTTATATCTGGCCTGCTGGCTGACCAGCACCATGGCTTCTCTTGGCCAATGTCAAAGCAGCAAGGCACAGTGGATTCTGGGGTTTCATTCTCATATCCGAGCCACACACACGTGTCACATTCCCCTTAAGTGTTGCGGTGAGCCTATTCCAGTCTGTCAGGCACAGTCTCAGCCCTGTGCGACTCTCCCTCCAGCACCAAAGAATCCCCAAAAGACCAGAGTCCAGCGGGGTGGTTACTACAGCCACACTACTGTGACGCTGGCACTATCACACACCACTTCCAAGAGGGCAGTACAGCACTGGAGCTCAGGGGAGTGAAAAACTAGCTATCTTGACCTTGGAGTTTGTATTGTCATAAAGTCAACCCACAATGTAGTTTTTTTTTTCCATGACACATTTATTATTTCTAGGGCTGTAAAACGCCAAATGCTCTGTGGCAAGACTAAATTGCTCTTTTAAAAAAAATCAAGCGAATGCCAGAGTGGGCTGGAATAAGTCTGGATTTGAGTTCTGAGAGTGTGAAAGCAGAAGAGATCCACAGCAGCCCACATCTGTGGGAAGAGTGGCTGTAGGCGGCAACTTCTCTGTACTTCAGGGCTTAAACCTCTTTGTCCACAGATTCCTGGTGTGAGTTAAAAAACATCTACAGTCTATGAACAGGCTGCATTTATTTATTTTTTAAACTCCAATAACTGTTACCCCAGCCTGCCTAAAAACAATTATCTTAGCCCAGCATGCGCAGGCCAACGTTCAATTTCCTGTTTCTCATCGTGAAAAGAAAAGGGGAAAAGGACTACAGAAAGACACAGCTGATAACACGACAGATGTTCCTATTTGATGACTTGTCCCAGACAGCTCAGCACATTCTGCGGGAGCATCTGTGAAAAATGAAGAAGGCTGCCTTCAGGACGAACCGAGAGCTTCGCATCACAGTTGGGACCTAGAAACTCCCTACACAGCATTTTGGAATTAAAACAAACAGTTACCCTGCCTCAGAAAAGGCATTCAATTAAATGACTAAATACTGTGTAGCAGACAAAAAGCATTAATTACACTGTCATTCTCCCTCACTGCTGATCATGAACGCAGGACAAAGGACACAGATCATACAGCGTGGCATGTGTGCTCATATTACTTATTCATGCTATTGCTGCTGTTTCTGTTAACATGTTATGTTTAAGTTTTATAGGAATTATTTTATCACCAAGGTCAAAGAGCCAATCACATTTACAGCAGCTCATATGGCTTCACAGCATTTGTTAGGAGACATATAATCTTTATTTTAAGAAACGCTCTAACAATTTAGAAAGCATTAATCTTCCGATGAAAAGGATCAGAAAGTTTCACCTTCATCTGTTGGATTTATTCTGCTTGATATATATATATACAAACAAGCAAATGACATTCACAGGGAGAGCTGCATTATAACCTTCAGAGGCTAATGCAAAGGTCACACTCTCACAGAAAAGCAACAGGTAAACCAAGGCTGACTAACCCACACAGGTGACCAGCGACAGAACTGTGATGAATCAGATTGTTACTTACTGCAGGCATGATTGGTGAATAGGAAGGGTCTTCAGTCCTCAGTGGGGGAAAAAAGCAAGAAAAATAGTTTGCAGTGTTTGCAGAAAAATAGTAGCTGCAAGAGGATCAATCCAGAAGCCAGCAGAGACTGTGGACTGTGCACTCTGCTCCGTACCGTCTTTAGTGCTACTTCCTTAACTCGGGATTCCCCTAGACTAGAGCTCCCAGAGCAGTCTTGGCTGCAGCACACGGATGTAGCGAGGGCTGATATTGTAGCTACAGCAAACGGTTTTTAAAAATTCAGGCAAGCCTGTCTTGTCCCTCCCCTCTCCCTGAAATGTGCCACCCCCTTCGGAAAACGTTAAATTTGCATCTTGGTTAATTTTCCACTGATCTCACTGGGCTTTTATATGGCTTCACAATGCTGTCATTGAGGCTTTACTGCACTACCTGGGATCAGGTCTGAGCGAGGACAGTGAGGAAGTGTGCCAGCAGTGGGCGGAAGCAGGGAGAGAGCACGGCACATTTGTGCGAGAGGCGGAGGAAAAGCTATCAAGCAATGCGAAGCCATTGTTCTGGAGACAGGTGGTAAAGGGGACTTTTTTTGTTCTTCCGAACAAGATCAGTTCTCAAAGCAAAGACATTCCCACTACAAAGAGCTCTCGCACCACGACAACAGCAGAAGAGTTGTCGTCCGTTCAGCACCGCAAAGCTCACACAAGGGAGCCGGTGTAACATGGCTTCAGGCTCAGCAAGGCAGACAGCCACTCCCTGCGGCGCAGGTAACCGGAGCACCTGCTTTACAAGAAATGCCTTATTCTGAAAAGAAATAGCTCTCGGCAGCACCGATGAACTTCGAATTCCAAAATTTCAAAGCCAGTAGTCCTCAGAGGCGTCAGAACGCCACATGCACTCGGCCCATTTTGCTAAACGCTTCTTGAATGTCCAGCCGACTCTTTCTGCCCGTCACACCTCAGCCTGTGGACAGAGCGCCTTGCTCATTGTGACCAGAGAGGCCAGGTCTGACACCTGCCAGAATGTTCTGCAGGCCCTCTCTACATTCTAGCCCAGTCTTTTTAACACACCGGTATGTGTCTGTCACCAGGATACTGCTGCTGTGAGATTAAGGAAGTCATCATGCTTCAAAAGCTTTTTTTCCCCCAATTTTAAACGTGGTTCCTTTCGTGGGGGTGTAATGACCAGGCATTGCCATCAAGGCCTCCACCTTTTAAAAAAACTGTGCTTAGTTCGTTAAAAACCCCCACCCGGAGCGGAGAACAGAAACCGCTGTTGTCACTGCTGTCCAGCAGCCTTCATGAAATGCCCTGTTTTCACCAGCCGACCAGTGCATCCGAGTGGAGAGGCTGTTGCCTTCTCTTCGCCCAAACCTTTCAGAAGCGTGCTGTAAATTCACGAGACCTGTCCGTTCGGGTATTGAACAGGACACTCCTTCCCTTAACACGAAGATTATGCAACACCCTTAACCTTGTGCCACTCTCCACTCACCCTCACTCGCTGAAGCCATTAATCCTGAGCCTCTAAACCACATGCAGGCCAGATGTTCACCACTGGCTCATGA